TATCTATTTACATTTGGCTTTTTATGTGTGATACTTTATTATGCATTCATGTTTACTTTCATGCATTGAACTATATATGTGTGAGCGTGATATTTACGTGATATGTGATATTTATGTGATATGTGACATGTGTGCTCTCTACCTTGAATTATTTATATATGTCATATCACTTGTTTATGCTCATTTGTTTTGCTTCAGCGTTTTACTCCGATGCAAATGAGCTTTACTTCTTGTACTCATGCTTATTTCATATCTTTTGAGTACATCATGGCTTGGGTCATATAAGCTTGCCTAACTCTTTTGTTCTTATTGTCAAAAGCTTATATGAACCAAGCATGTTGAAAACCTCATCTCTTTTATATACTCGAGGTGGTATTGCCATCAATCACCAAAAATGGGGAGATTGAAAGCATCTAGGCCCTTAGTTGGGTTTCGATGATTAATGACAATACGAGATTACTGTGACTAACGTGTGTTTTACAGATGCAATTAAGTTAGGTCATGGTAATGACAATTGATTGGGCAATCATGGTTGTCATGCCCCTACGATGGAAATCGCTTTGGTTTTCAAAGGATGGACGACAATGTTAAGGATTGACTAGTTCTAAGTGTTGTTTGGTGTTGAAGAGACACTTAGAGTAGTTTAGGACTTTATTTTTCCTTTGGCCGTACTATTAAGGGGGGTATGAATAGGTAGCTTGACCTAGGTAAGTCTAGTGGGTTAGGTGTGGTGCACACTTGTCAAATCTAGCACTAGGTAGCTCCTAAATAGCCTTAAGATCAATTGGAGCGAACTTCATTCACATATGATTACGAGTTGGAAGTGAATGGAGGGTCAAATATTGACCGGACGCTGGCGCAGAGTCCGGTCAGTTCATTTGATCAAGGTGAAGTCGTCTGGATACGACCGGACGCTGAGTGAAATGTGACCGGACGCTGGGTGCTAGAGTCCGGTCAACTCCAGTAAGGTTTTAGAGAGGGAGAATCCTGATCGAACGCATCCGGTCAGTGCTGAACGAATGCTGGTCAGGTTCCGGCTACTGACCGGACGCTGAGCAGCAAAGTGACCGAACGCTGAGTTCTAGAGTCCGGTCAACATTAGTAAGGTTCCAGAGGATAGTTTTCGTGATCGGACGCGTCCGGTCAGTGCTAACCTGACGCTGGTCAGTGTTCGGTCACAACTTAACTGCTCGGTTGCGGGGAGAACTGACCGGAGCGTCCGGTCACCCCGCAGTGGCACATAACGGTTCATTTTGAATGAGAGGTTATAAACACTTCCTCTATTCACTTGAGGGATTACTTTTTCTCATTTCAACAGCTGAGAAACACCCATGAGAGTGCCAGGGAGAGCAAGGTCCTAGTGAGGTGATTGAGATTTAAGAATCCAAGAGAGAGGCCTCAGTAGTGAAAGTAAGAGTAGCAAAGTGTGCATCCACCCTCCTCATTAGGCTTGTCGTGGTCAAGTGAGAGTTCGTGCTTGTTACTTTTGGTGATCGCCATCACCTAGATGGCTTGGTGGTGATTGGGAGTTTGGTGATCATCCGACGGAGCTTGTGGATGACCCAACTCAAGTTGTGAGCGGTTGTGGGTGATTCACCGCGACGGAGTGTCGAAGAATCAACCCGTAGAGAGCACTTGATCCTTGCGCGGATCAAGGGGGAGCTACACCCTTGCGCGGGTGCTCCAACGAGGACTAGTGGGGAGTGGCGACTCTCCGATACCTCGGCAAAACATCGCCACGTTTCTCCTCTCTTTACTTTAAGCATTTACTTTAAGCAATTCAATTCTTGTCTTTACATTCATAGAATTGTCATGCTAGAGTAGGATTGGAACATAGGTTACTAAACTTTTGTGTGGTAGAACAATAGGAACACTTTCTAGGCACAAGAGGTGAAGTGGGCTAAACGTAGGGTTTAATTATTACAAAGAATTTTAGAATTAGCACAATTCACCCCCCTCTTGGGCATCTTGATCCTTTCAATTGGTATCAGAGCCTCGTGCTCACGTATTTAGGCTTAACTGCCTAGAGAAAAATGTCTCACGGGGATGGACCTCCTCCTATCTTTGAGGGAGATGATTTTCCTTATTGAAAAATCCGCATGGAGGCGTATTTAGAAGCTCTATATGTTGGAATACTTAGAGCCGCCTCACAAGGATTCCCAAAATATCGGGATCCCACGCACCTTCAAGGCGATAAAGTGAACTATGAAAAATGGAATGCAAAGGCTAGAAACACATCTTTAGAGGCCTTTGCAAAGATGTGTTTAACCAGGTGAGGAACAACAAGGACGCCCATGCACTATGGTCGGACATTTGTGCGCTCCATGAGGGAACTAAGAGTGAGCGTGAGGAACGCTATCATCTCGTAATGAAAAAGGTTAATTCTTTTGAGATGCTTCCTAAAGAGAGTGCTAATGAAATGTACTCACGCTTGAATGTTCTTGTAGAGGTAGTTAATGGGCTTGGACTCACTCAAATACAACCATCCGATGTTGTAAGAAAAATCTTGAGTGTCCTCTCCATTGATAAATATGGGCATATTGTGACCGTGCTTCATTAAGGTGATCTTTCCACCGCTACACCGACTCAAATCTTGATCCTTTCGAATGGTGCATATAAGACTGTCAAGAACCCTCAGACCGTACATATCCATCCTAGTTCAGGATTAGTGGAGATACGTCCACGATGGGTAGTATACCACGAATTAGTTCTCACAACAAAAGAGTTTATGCGCCAGGTGACGGAACTGAAGCCAGAATGGCTGGTAGAGATAGCACCACATTATTACCAATTAAAGGATGTGGAAGACTCTGGAACAAAGAAGCTAGCAAAGGGCCAAGGACGAGCTGCATTGTAGCTAGGACCCATGCATGTTTTGTGTTGGACTCAGCCTAGGAACATCAGGCTTTGAGTGAAGATGTATATAACTCCTTATATTGCAAACAGGATAGATGATGTCACTATTCATTGTCCTGCTTAGGTTTCAGAGTAGCTGATTGTTCATGTAAATTATGATATGAAGACATGCATGTGAACCACTATACAGTCTGTTCGTTTGGTTGTAAATGATCGTGGATTATAAGTCAGAACAGTATTTTTCTCTCACACCAAACCAGCCAGCAGTACTTCTGACTTATAATCCACGATTGTTTCAGCCGAAACGAATAGGCTGATAATTGTCACACTAGGGGGTTGCCCGCCGCCATGCTGGACGATCATCAGCATCCTGCCGCCGTTGGGACTATTGTCCAAGAAAATGCATATGTGCCTTGCCTAAAAAAAACAGCTCTAAACAAATTAGGAAACCAGACAATAACTTACACATCATTTTTTTTTGTTGAGAATGGTGCTAATGAAAAAAGACTCAACATGGCAAGCATAACTCCATCCAGCTGGCTTCATTGAAACTTCAGTGATCTGTGCTTCCTGAATTCAGCAGTATACCTTTGTAGTGATACCAGCCATGACTTCACAGCTTCTGATCTATCCTGAAGATGAAAAGTAACCGTGAAGACACTATGCCGGAAGAAAATAGTCACTACATGATACACGAATCCAGATTAAATTAATTTTACTGAATGTGTATCATTAGTTTCTCTACCATGTGCAAATTCAGCAAGTACAATGTAAAAAACTGTGCTGCTGTTACGAAGTTGGACCTGCCAGCACTAATAAGTGAAATATTAATTTAGGAAAGCTAATAAGCTTGGTGCAAGGTATTAATTTATAAAGTTGGACCTGCCAGCACTAAAGAGTGAAGTTGGAAATCATCTCTGATGAACTAAAAAAACACATTGGAAGCCGACCAAATGTTTTTAGTTAAGGAGACAAACAGAGCATCTCCAACATGGACCTCAAAGGTCATGTTCGCTTATCTTATAATCCGTATTTTTCAGCTTGTTTTTTCAGCCGGAACAGTATTTTTCTCTCACAACAAATCAGCCGGAACAGTGTTGCGGCTTGTTTTTTCAGCGAAGCGAACGGGGGCCTAAATAGAGGTCGTACTCTAGTTTTTGGTGCCAGAAAAAAACGTTAATCCAATAGAGTCCCAACTCAAGTTCCTATTTTGTGGAGACCCTCCAATCTCCACTCTTAGTCCCATCTCCCATCGATGCTAAGAAGCTACTTTGCCAAGAAAATTTTCTTCACACCAACTCACTCTTGCACTGCAGCCCTATTCCCCTCTCCTGTCTGGCTCCTCTGGTGAAACCCCTCAGCCCGGTGAGGCTACCGTCTCGGACGTCCTTACCGTCCGTTCCACTCAAGTCCATTCAATGCGGCTCCTCTCGTGCTAGCAAGCACTTGACCCTGCCAAGGTCCCGTGCCCTGGTGCTCTTCGCCCTCCTTGTCATGTCACCAATGCCCCCCCTCTCTCGTGACAGCTAGTCGATTGGATCAATGATGGATATGGTCAAATGACGGGTAGGTCCAACATGCCAGTGACCACTAAAATACTAGATTTGAGGGTTTTTATTTAAGAGCTCCTGCTAGAATAAATCTAAAGAAAGTACTCTCTCCATTCCAAATTATAAGTCATTTTAATATTTTTGAGAGTCAAAACATCTCAAGTTTGACTAAAATTATAGAGAGAATTATAAAGATTTATGACATCAACTAGGTGCACTGTGAAAATATAATTAATAAAAAATCTAATGATACTTATTTGGTATCATAAATATTATTATTTTATCATATAAATTTGATCAAACTTGAGATGGTTTGACTCTCCGTGAATGTTGGAATGTCTTATCATCTGAAAAGTAGGGAGTAGATCTTTAAGAATAAGAGAGTTCTTAAATTAAAATTAAATCTCTTTGTCCTAAAAAACGTAATTTTAGTTGTGGCTTAACCTGCTCCTGCTAGTCTCCAGGAAAAACAGACTCAAGGATAGTTGATCGGCCAAAATAAGTTTTTTGTTGTGTGATCCCATCTCGCACTTGAGACTGGACTGTTGTGACTATCGTGGGGGAGAGAGAGAAACAGAAGAGGTAAAGGAATCCATGGCGGCGACGCTGGCGAGGAGGGCGGGGCGCTCCGCGGCGGCGGCGCTATGGGGCGCGGCGAGGGGCTTCGCGTCGGTGGGGTCCGACATCGTCTCAGCCGCGCCCGGCGTATCGCTGCAGAAAGCGCGGTCCTGGGACGAGGGCGTCGCCACCAAGTTCTCCACCACGCCTCTCAAGGACATCTTCTACGTGCGCAGCGCTGCTCCTCCCACCCGCATCGCCATGTCTTCTCCTGCTAGATAGTCCATACCGACCAATTTAGTTGTGCTGACCCGGGATTCTTTGCTTGCTGTCCTTGTGCTTGCAGGGGAAGAAGGTGGTCATCTTCGGCTTGCCCGTAAGTTCCGTCCCCACTACTTCCATTCTGCTCTCCCATGTAGTCATGTAGATGTTTGGCCATTTTAGGGTCGCTAGATGAGGCCGTTGTTTACATTGGTGCGGAATTGTTTCGTTAGGTTTGCTAGGTCTGAATTTACATTTGGGGATTAGGGATGCCTCAGTAGAACGTTGATTATGGGTGTTTTTTATTGCTAGGACGTTGATTTGGGAAATAGACGTAGGAATTGGGAATGGGAAGTTATGTTGTTTCAGTGACCATGGTGAAATCTGAATGATGTATCTTATATATTGGATGTCGTTTCTACAAACTAGAGATGTTCATCTCTGATGCCTAGGAGAAAACATTACATTTCATTCGTCTCACCTGATAGGGCAATAAGGATAGGTGTACTCCATGATACTCGAGGACAATGTTGTAAGAGCATAACACAGAATCCATGTTCCGTTTTTCTAAGCCATGAGAAAACATTGTGATTGTGACACATTACACCCTACTCCCAGAGTTTCTAGTCATTGTTGTTTCCTTGGCGATTCAGTCCATTGAAACTTGCAAATTTACACCTTTGGCGTTGTTGTTTGTATTGTTTTTCTCCATCTTTTATTCTGAAAGGCAGAATTCTCTCACTTCAAATATTCTAATGACTATATGGTTTGGCAACTATCTTTTCAATTTATTGCAGGGTGCATATACAGGGGTTTGTTCACAAGCGCATGTTCCTAGTTACAAGAACAATATTGACAAGTTGAAAGCAAAAGGGATCGACTCTGTTATCTGTGTAGCTGTGAATGATCCGTATGTCCTGAATGGATGGGCAGAAAAGCTAGAGGCTAAAGATGCAGTAAGTAACTACCCTTTAATCTTTATTCTTTACAGGATTACCATTTTAGCAGAGAATCTGAAATATAATGAGGGTGTATAATGTATGTATCCAAGTATTGTGCTGTTATCAATGTGATAGGACTATCTGCCTTTTGTTGTCAGGGGTGTTTACTTATTTGGTGTTCTCAACTACATAAATGTTTGTCGTCATTCTATTCCCATCCTATCCTCCTCAGTAATTCGTTATTATTGACAATTGTCCTATATGCAGTCAACCTGTGATGTTTTCCTTGTTCTCGCACCTAATATGCCGAGTCACACACCTAAATTATTGAGACTCTACATCAGATGTGGTGCTTTTTTATACTTCTGCTGCACTCCGTTCACCTTGGTGCATAGAACTACCAAATGCAAATTTCATGTCATGTCTCGTAAAGCTCACCCAATTTCTCTATACTGATGAATGATTGAATGATCTAATTTAGATTTAAAATTTTTGGGAAACATGTTTCAGATGTATCATCTTAGGATCTTAACAAAAAAAAAAACTGCAATTTTGACTACGTGCAGTTGCTAGTTATTTACAATTTTATATTAATTCTCTTGAGATCATGCGTGCATATTCATATTTTTCCTATGTGCAATGATTGGAAAATATAGATTGAGTTCTACGGTGACTTTGATGGGAGTTTCCACAAAAGCTTGGATTTGGAGATAGACCTTTCTACTGCTTTGCTAGGCCGCCGTTCTCACAGGTTAATGGACTCAACTTGCAGTCATTCTTAAACTTGTGCCCTTATATTACAGTTGAAGAATGGTGTTATGTAGTTTAATACTGAGTTACTGAGTTCTGACTGTCCTTGTTTAGTTGAATGTCTCTTTGGACACCTTTATGTAATTTATTTCCAGCCATGCCCTTGTCAGCTGAACCACATGCTATAGCTGCATACAAAATTGTGAAGGAAAAAGTCTACATAACCAAAACCACCTTTCAAAACCACTCAGGGGGTTATTTGTCCGGTTTTACAAAGTTTAATGTGTACAATACCTGGTTTTATAGTTCAGAGGGTTATGTAGACCACAATCAATAGGTCAGGGGTTATGTAGATTTTTTCCAAACTGTGAATGACCACCATATTGTGAATTGTTGCTTTCATTCCACTAGGTTCATAATACTATAGAGGACACCCCTGTCTGACATGATAACAACCGTTCTTAGAGTATCTTTTACATTTCCCCATTAAGCAAGGAAAGTATGCTTAATTTCTAGTGCTTTTGCGTAATGACAACACATCTTGTGCTGGATTTCTGTCTTCTGGTCTAAATGTTCACAACATTTTTAGGTGGTCTGCTTTTGTTGACAATGGTAAGATCAAGGCTTTCAATGTTGAGGAAGCACCATCCGACTTCAAGGTTTCTGGTGCAGAGGTGATCCTGGACCAGATCTGAGCTTCTCAATGACTTGGGCTATCTTCAGTTTGTGCGGCATACTTCCTCTGCAGCAGCGAATAAATTAAATCTCTTACGACCCATGTAAGCTGTTTAGATATACTGCGCCCAGACTAAGGAATCAGAGTGTATGACCTCGGTTTTTCTGGAATACTGACCACTGCGTACTGGATGCCATTCTTGCCCATTCATGCGACGAAGAAACAGCTCCGGGCTCCTGGGCTATGGCCGCCGCCGGCTGCGCAGACGACGAAGAAACAGCTCCGGGCTCCGGTATTATGCCTTGTGCTGATTCATCCAAATTCATCCATAATTCTCTCACAGCTGTTCTGATGACAATATTTCCGATGCCGGTCTTCGAAAGGTCAAACGGGTGTACTGATGACTAAAACACGAGTGACTTGTGCTGACTGCTGAATGTTGCGATCAGCAGTGACGACATCGAACTTGTCGCCTCTCGAAAATGTACTGAAATAGGATACCAACTACAGGGTCGCTGGGGACTACCGGAGTTCTCACAGGAATTGAACTGCATCACCAATTTGAGAGCCAAGAAATGCCTTGGCTCCCTTAGGCATCATACCAAATCCACAGGCATAATACCAAATTCACAGGCAGTGTATCTAAACACTGATTAAATGATTAATGCAAACATTGAACACCGATTAATACTCTCGGAGGTGATCGATGCTCCCAACTCGCAGGATATACAGTAACGGGTGCTCTCCGACTCAACTTCCTGTTCATCTACAGTATCACCCGTTACTGCAGCTTGCACCTGTTACTGTACCTTCTATGGCCATTAACCATTAACGCACCTTCTAGCTAGCTGTACCACGTCCCCGCTATCTGGAAGCCTCCCGTCGTGCTGGTTGGCTGGTTTAATTTATTGGGTTCGTGAAAAATACTGTTTCCACTTAAATTTACTATCGTTTACGACAGTTAGGAAAAAAAATCACCATCCCAAATTCCCAACCCACCGCTCCACGCACGGGAACCACGCCCGTGCATCGCCGCCGCGCCGGAAGGAAGCTCTGCCGCCTCACGCGCGACCCGGCGGAGCGCCCACTCGCCTACGACCTTCGTCGTCTGAGCGCCGCGGCACCACAGCACCACCGCCGGGCGGCGACCCCGCCAGAGCGCGGGACCGCGTGCACCCTCGGACGGTCGTGCGGCGCGTCACTGCAGCACCGCCGCAGGGCCGCGACCCCGCCGGACTGTAGACTCGGCTGCACCCTCAGCCCGCCCGCGGCTCAGCCAGAGCGCCGAAATGGTTGCGCCGTCAGCCTTTCCCCCATCTGCAGGCTCCACCGACTGCGACGACACCCGCCCGAGCTCCGCCCCGCCTGTGCCCTCCGCCGGCCGCGCGGCGCGGCCCGCAGAGCGCCGCAATGCAGGAACGCCGCCGGTCCGCGCTACGCCCCCGCGGCAGCGCCGGCCCCTCTCGGGTAATCTCCGTCGCCTGCCTACCTGTACCTTTCTCCTATTTCGTTCCGGTCTTTTTTGCACACATCGATATCGTCATCTTCTTTTCTATGTTTTATCCTCCGTGCTCCAGATTCGGCCGGGGTTCGCTACGCTCGCTCGTGTGTGCTGGGGCCCGTACGCTCCTGCTGTGATCCAAGAATCCAACTGTGCCGTCATTCCCGGTTCGTCGTCAGCCCCGTCGCGCTCCGTTCAGGGTTCGTGTATTGGCCGGCGACGCACTCTCCTCAAAGCTCCGGCGCCGCTGCTCTTCTGCACAGAACCATCTATCTTCATAGGTGCTGCTCACAAGGTACCCCAATTTTATACTTCCTCTTCAAAGGTTTGTGCAAGGGAATTGATGAATCAAAGTTTACAAATAATTACGGCTCCTCTTCATGTTTTGATCTGCTACGTTATTTTGGTCTTGCCTGTACAATGCTAAGATTTGGGATAATTTCCATTTATATATATGGACACCGACTTTTCTTTTGTCCGCTCATATTGCAGCAACAAAAATGTTCGACAGCCATAACCATAACGTAGTAACATGTGAACTCCCTACTTTCACTATCAAGTTTCAAACCTCCTTTTCAATCTGTACACAGGTATCAATTGCTTGAGGCGGAAACAGAGTACATTTATGCGCTTTCTAATCAGCACATATGCAAGATCAGCATCTCCCCACCATCAGCAACTGCCATGGAAGCACGAAAACTCCTTACTTTTATAGTCCTATTCTCCATGTATAAAATATGCCAATATTTTTTGTTTATACATGCACCAAAACTAAATGTTATATTTGAAATCATAGTTGCCTGACACATATATGCCACCTTTGCCACTACACCTAGGTCTGTTGGACATAACTTGTTCTATAGCCCGTACGAAAACTCTTTGCTTTTGCATTTTATTTAGGTTTTTGGGTATCTTTAGCTCTTTAACATTGTTTGCTCTAGGCAGCTATCTTTAGAACCTTACATTGTCATGTGATCAGTCCGTAACGCAATTATGATTACCTATAAATCTGGAATTGCCATCAGATGTCATGTGTGCAAACTACGGTTTAAAAATGTAAGCTGTTTGAATCTTCTGATTAGTTTGCACCAAAGTACTGTAGATTGGGCCACCTCTCCCCTGGAACTTTTTTTTATCGTTTTACCAGCTATATGTTCGAGCTTCTTCTTGGCTGTGCTTTCCTGTGAATGCAGATACTTTGTGAAGCTTTCTTGAAGGAGCTGAAATCAGTTGCCCATTGAAGGGATCACAAAGTGATTGATGTTTGGCTCATCGTGCTTATCTATGCCAATGGTGGTGCCTCTTCATGCGCTGTTCTTGCCTTTATTGATGCTTCCGTTTGCAGTTATGCCGGAAAAGATTTCATCAGGAAATAATTCATCATTACATCATATTTGGGGTCAATTATCTGAATCTCAAGTTATATTCAATCCATCTTATGAAGTATGCCAAAATTTACAGAGTGCCTCTCCATCTCCAGTTTAATTTGGACATTTCCTTCATTAGTTTGGATATCATTCTTCTATTTTTCAAGTACATTGCTGCTGTTCCTTTTACTGAACATCATGTAGGTCTGCCATACACTAGGAAACTGATAAGAGGAAGGTGCTACTACAGCTGGGTACACTTATGTTTTAGAGCAAATATTTTGCCGATTCGCCAATATTGTTGCATTGCTACTTTGCACTTCTTTGTCACATCATGACAATACATCTGAATTTGTATCCAAACTGCCTATGGACTCTGTTATGAGTATAGTGCTTTGCACCATATCCATAGTGCCTAAGCACTCAAATTGTTCCAGATGAAATTAGCTCAATGGACTGATGTGCTCAGCTAGGCAATTCCTTGGCTAATATTTCTTTCAGACAGTAGAATAATCAGCAAGTAATATGTTTGTTGTAATGCAACAAAACGATTGAGCAGGTATGGATCAAAATATCTGTTATTTCCTCTCACAGCTTAAACAACTACTATGACTGCATATTGCCTCTCTGACTCTAGCTGTTCTATGATATTTTCACTAGGGCCTCACAGTGTATTTGGTTCTATAGGACTACCAGGAATACCTCATCCTACAAGATAACAGGTAACTACTTTTGGCCGTGCCTTGCGAATGTCGAAATCGCTTCTTCTCAGTTTCCAAACGTGGGAATGTTATGAAATCTGGAACCACGTCATCATGGTTCCAACCCACATAAATTTGGTTAACTAAAAAATAAAGTAATTTCTGGTGTCTAAATGGAGCTGTACTCCTGTATTAGACGCCATCATCATAGTTAAGGCTACATAGGTTTTGTGCCCTCTAAATACAACTCCATGGCCTCCATGATCCATGGACCTGCACTGCCCTTTTGTTATCTAAGTAATAATTCCCATCCCACTCACACCCCAGAAACCTTTTACCAATTGAATACTCTATTTGTAACTCTCCCTTACTTTTAACATCAGGTTCTAAGCCTGCCTTTGATATGTACGCAGGGATCAATCGCTTGGCGTGCAAACTACAGCACATTTCTGTTTTTTTTACCACATATGCAGGCTTAGTACCATCAGCAATTTGTCCATCGCAGCACAGATTCTTATATTATTACTTTTGTAGTTCTGTCACCCATGCATAAAGCACGGCACTATTTGTAAACTTTTCCTATATATACTGTTTCATTTGATGTTTCTTTTGGTCTTCAAGTGCTACATAAGTTACCCCCTCCTGCGACACAACCGAATGTTATGTTTGCATCGCAATTGACTCAAATCGTTGCATATCCTATACATTGTCAGTTTCCTGCCTCGCGCGGGGTTACAGGCTAGTTTCATTTCATTTTCATGGCTCTATGCCGTCAGTGCTGATTGCAAACTTAGCGCCCAGGCAGCCAGCACAACACGCTAACGTGTATTCCCCCGTTCTAAATTATAAGTTATCTTAGTTTTTGTAGGTACATAGATTTTATCTAGGTACATAATAACAACTATATAGAGAAAAGTCAAAATACCTTATATACCAATATCAGACAAGCCATGTCTACGATATTGGGCGGCTGTGTGTGAGCCATGCGTCCAAATCAGCATTAAATTTCTATTTGCATTGGCTTCAATTGGAGCGACGGATTAGATTTACGTGCCGGACGGAACATAAATCTGAACAACCTGCCTATGGATTATACTCCCTCCATTTTAAATTATAAGACGCTTTGAGTTTTCTATACACATAGTTTTTGATATATATATATATATATACCCACACTATGTCTAATATATGATAAAAGCGATGTATAAACGTCTTATAATTTAGAACGGAGAGACTACTATTCTAGGGTGAACAGTGCTCGAAAAAGAACACTGACTGGAACATCGGCCGTGGGGACAACATTTCAGGCTCTTGAATCGTTCGGTTCGCTTCGCTGAAAAAAGTCGAAATATTGTTCTGTCTGATTTGTTGTGAGAAAAAAACACTATTTCGGTTGAAAAAATAAACTGAAAAAGACGGATTACAGTAGAAACGAACTGAGCCTTAGTGA